AGTGCACCTATCCTTCTTGCTGTCTTTGGGGGTTACTCTTAAAATCTAGTGCGTGCAGAATCAGGGGTACCCTGAGTTCTCATAATTCCTGCGGCCCGGTCATCCCAAAGTACTGTCAAAACGCGGACTCAACCCGGAGCCTAAAACCCCTAAACTGCCGTTTTCAGGCGGCGCACTACTTGTGGCCGCCTGACAACGGTTCGCCTGGATCCCACAGTCCGTTGTGGCGATCAAGCGCACAACCGGCCAGCCTCTCGTCAGCCCGACAGGACTTTCCGACTCGCATGAATACACTCTGCCTAGCCACTGCTTCCCGGAAGCTGGCTTAGAGTCGAGAACGTAAGAGAGATTTGCGAACGCGCTTGTGGGTTTTATAGTTGCGACAGGAGAGATAGAAGGGGGAGAAGGCTACAGGAAAGTTGAGGTGTAAGAGGAGAAGCAGGAGGAGAAGAATTTGAGGAGAGTGCTCTACGAACGCCATGCTGATCCGTCGGAACTCAAGGTTCAACCAATCAGATTCGTAGGAAGGTCCTATCGATCCACGCACCTGATTGGCGAGTGGGAGTTATCGGGGGATCGACCGGGCGTCGTACGCCAGACTTAGAGGGTGAGAAGAGAAAAGGCGCGAGAGGTGGCACAAGACGGGTCGAAGATTCAGATGGTCAAGAAAAGGAAATGGGCGCGCGAAAGCAAGGCGGAAGAGAGAGAGGGAGAAAGAAAAACAGTTACGGAGAGAGAGAAAGAGGAGGGAGAAGGAAAGGGAGCGCGAGGAGGGCACGATGCGGGGGACAGAGAGGAGAAGGCTTTTGCATGCATGGCGCCGTCAACAAAAAAAGAAAAAAGCACCGAAATAGTTACAGCTAGCTCCTAATTCAAAATTGAAATCACCATACCCGCGCGCGAAAAAGTGACGCGGGAAGAGAAAATCCTACGCCTATTCGTGTCTGATCGAAATTCCGAAAGTTTTCCTCGATGCGCCCAAGAACATTTGCACACCCAAAAAGGCCACGTCGACGTTCCGCTTATCGCGGAGTTTTCAACTACCGAGCCCAATTCCCAGCACGCTCGCTGAGGCGTGCACAATTTCCCATGTATTTCTTGACTTTGCAAAAGGAAAAACAGAACTGAGCAGTCAAAAAAACTCTCGAGAAAAAAGGAAAATGCAGCACCCGAAAGCAAGAAATCTAAACGGGGTTTTTCGTGGGGTTGGTAGGATATAAGCAAAAGAAAGGGTAAGAAAGATAGCTCGGGTTTGTGAAGTGGTTCGTCACATATGTGACGCGCAGGGGGTTCCAAAATTATGTGATCTCCTGATTGCATGTCACGGCGAAAAGAAGAGAGGAGAACAAAGTGATGCATGAGGAACCAAATGTATCAACAGAGCAGAAGGAAGCACAAGGAACGATAACTTGAGYCGCGGATGAGATGGCGACAACATCCGTGGCAAGATCTCTGCAGCCCTGTCATATGCAACCCTCTGCCTCGTGGAGATCGTCCAGGTGACGCCATCATGGTCCATCCGATCTCCGTGTGCTCTGCACCCCTGCTCATTGCCGTCCGCCGAATCAGCGCGTAGGTTGACGTCATCATCGATGGCGTGATCTTTCGCGAAGCTTACTGATTCGTGCTGATGAAGGGAGAAGAGAACAAAAGAAGGGAGAGGG